AAAGAGTGGGATTTGGGGTGAAAATGAAAATTTCGGTTAGGGTGTATTTAGTGTGTGATATCTATTAGACCTGCAAGTGGGAGCCGTCAAGTAGGCAGTTGGGTAGCTCTGTAGATGATTTAAAAGTCATTAACAGTTAAAGCCATGGGGCATGAAGAGATTATTTATGCATTCAGTTTGAAAAGGAAAGATGGAAACTAAGACAGAGATTTCTAGCACTCCAGACTTTTGAAGTAAGAAGACATATATACCGCAAAGATTACTGAGAAGGAATTTTTCATTAAATAGGAGGAAAATAAACAGAACATGTCAAAAGATGTGTAAGGGAAATGTTCTGTTCTTAAAAATAAACACTAGGTAAGTCTGGCAAGTGTGTCCTGAAGAATATGTACAAAGATGTCCTTTTTAGCACTGTTTGTAATAGCAAAACATTATAAAAAATCTTATGTTCATAAATGAGATATGGATAAGTATATTTTGTTTTATTTATTTTTTTAATAAAAAATATTTTATTTTTTATTCTGTACAGTATACTGTACAGAAAGAAAAATGAGTAGATTAGAGCCATATGTACCAACACGGATGTATCTCACAAGTATAATGCTATTAGTGTTGCTGTTGTTTTTATTTATATTATAGTTTATGTTAATCTATTTGTGATTTATATTATCTCCAGTCGTGTACAGGTTTCATTTTATTCTCTATTATTGAAAGAAAGAGTAAGATGTTAATTTATGACTATCATTAGATGATTTTCAAAATCCAAGACATAGATTTACAATTACAATTATAGGTATTTTAACGTAAGATAAAAATATAAAATTGTTATATATTAATTTTGATAAATACAACATGAATATAATAGGCTATCACTTCCTTGATTAGGTTATGATATATGGCTTCAAAAGAGATCATCTAGGTGGGCCTGAGTTAATAACAAATTCTTTAAATCTGCATGAAGGAGTCAGAAAGAGGGAAACAGAGCTTCAATATATTGATACTAGTTTTACCGACTAGGGTTCTGGCCTCCTTAATCAGTAGAAATTGATCAGAGGCCAGACAAGAAATTCAGGTGAGGTTTTATTGGGACTCCTGCTACAACAGGGGGAAGAGAGAACAAACAAAAGATTTCCTTGCTTGCCAGCTCCCTGAGGCAGGGGTGTGCTTGTTCCTTATATGGGGTGAGGGTAGGGGTGTGTCCAGAGATAGGGCCAGAGGGGTGGCTTAGGTGTTTTGCCCACCTCTTAGGTGGTGTTGTGTGCAGGGGGCATGCGCAGCACCCTACTCTTGCTCCCGACCCCCCGGAATATGTGGGCCCAGGAGACCATGCCTAATGGAAGCCCATCCATCTATATGATACTTTGACCATTTAAGACCACTGAATTTTCTGCCTGAATTAACTCAAGTAATACATCTTTTGGGGGCATTTTCTCCCAAGAATGGGCCAGACACTAAGGTGCATACTTCTAACCTTACGGGTTTGTCAAGGCTGTTGTATAATGGGTATGGATGATTGGAGTCAGGGATGGGAAGAGAAGGACCAACTCTACCCATGCTTCAACTTTCTATTGAACAAATCTAATGGTTCTAAGAATTAGAAATTCAACCCTGTACTTCCAGGACATTATGAAGTATATTAATCACAGTAATAAGAGAGAGCACATTTTAGTTACCAGTTTGTATGACAGATTTATTGCAATAATGACTGCAATTATTCACCATTACCATAACAACACCATTTGCAATATGACCTTTAGTTCCTTCTATTAAGAGTTGGTGTCTTATTTTCCCACCCCTTGAATATAGGCTAGCCTAGTGTCTTGCTTTGACAAATAGAATGTGGGACAAGGGATCATGTCCCAGTTCTAAGCCTGAATCTCATGAATTCTTGAGTGCTTGTGCTCATTTATTTGCACCTCTGACGCCACCATGATAACAAGCCCAGAATATTCTGATGAAGCATAGAGCAAAGAGGAGTGACTGTAGTCATGGCCATCTTAAAAAGGTCAGTCTTCAACAATCTGCCAGTTGACTGTAGCTATTTGAGATTAGCTAAGCAAAGCCAAGTGCAGCCCAGCTCAGCAGAAACACTGAGCTAAATAAACCTTTGCTATTTTTCACATAAAAATCAATTGCTTACTCTTTTATTTGTATTTTAGCAGTCTTTTCTGTCAGGAAACTGTAAAGGACTCTAAATTCACATGGCGTCATTACTTACAGTGCAATCATTCTGGCAAATATATTCTGGCAGCAACTATAATGTAAATATTCATGCCTTGATTTGTTTTGGTGTTAAGTCTTTTCCCTTAATATTAATAGTTACAACTATGTTCAATGAAGCATCTACCACGTACAAATCATTATAGCATTTTATAAACATAATCCTATTTAATACTTACAAACCTTCCCACCCCCCCCCCCCCCCCCAAAAAAAA